CCTTCAGCATCCAAGTCGGCCACCTCTCTCGCTTCTCGTTGAGCTGTATTAGCCAAGGCTCGAACCAGGACCACACTTAGCGTACATTTACAGTGCAATGCCTCTGTGTAAAGCTTCCGAGTCCACAACAGATCCCCCCCAGCCCCCCGGTTCCTCGAAGCAGCACAGTATCTTGACTGCAGGTCCGCCACCCTGAGCCACCTCCTGCGACACACCGGGAAGCTGTCCCAGCAAGCCAGCAGTGCACTTCCCCCAAATAAAGCTGGCCTTGCTGCAGTTTCTAGCCATCAGATCTCAAACACAACTGTCTGTTAAAATGATGAGACTTCTAGTCTCCGTTTTCCTGGTCTCCACAGAAATATTAAGCAAAGATTAAATTATTCCTTCACTTGCTGCTAAACTAAACACATCGAGTCTCTCTAGAACATATGTTCTCTGCTGCTTCCATCTGCATTATTATCAAGATTTTGTTCATTACCATTACCTTTCTTGAACTGCAGACATAAGTTTTATGTACCCCAGGTCTAACTTGCACAGGTGATTCTGGACAGCGATGACAAAACTGCACCTCTTACATTTCCACCTATTCACACAAATGTGAAGTTGACCTGCGGGGTCTAACATTACCCGTTCAGTGCAGCCAGTCTCAAAATTCTAAAAACCATTTTGGAGCCAGTGCTTGCTTGAGAATACGTCTGTTCTCATAATAGTCCACATTTTAAATACAGCCTTCTCCTTAGCCCAGGTGACACTTTTCACACCGTGCTTTGGATCACTTCACACCATTGGGCTTGGTTCCTCATAAATTACCTATTTCTTTGGTCTTCTTTCTTCAGAAGTCGTGTTGGGTTTCTTGAGCTCACCAGAAGTGTTCCTGTTCATCATTTTAGCACCCAAACTATGTTTCTTCCTTTATTTTCAGAAACCTCTGTCTTTCAAGATCTCAACTGTGAAACAAAGAACATCTTGCCAAATTGCTCTTCTCAAACTACCTGAAGTCAGGACTACACCCAAGCATTTCCAGCATGTTCAGGACTTACTCAACTACATAAAGCAGAGGCTTGATGTAACAAATAGAATGAGCACCAATGATCTCAGATCATTATGTGTTGACAAAGTCATGATTTTTGAGCCTGAAACATTAGTCGACATTCCAAGAACTACTCAAGACAGTGTTTCACCCGATTCTCCACTCGCTGTTTTCTCCCTGTGCTGTGTGCTGGCACTAAATTTGTTACATCAAAACCAGGCAGGTCTCCACTGCAGAGAAACCTGGTGCGTGCGCAGTGCACTGCTGCGCAGACCTCGACACACCTTCAGCAGGGGCTGGCAGCTGGGTGGATGTAGAACCTCACTTTTGAGGTGGAACCCAAATACTGTGTCCAGATCATGGTGTCTAGCTGTAAGAACATTCAAGTGAGCAACGCAGAATGGACTTCTTTATGTACTGTATTGTTAGGCTTAAAAAGACAACTTTTACACTGCCTTGAAGGAATCAAAGCCTACCTAGGTAAGCTGCAGGATACACAGCTGCTCCCTCAAACTGGATGCAAAGATATTACGCTTCTCCTTAACTGAACCCAAATCCAAAAGGGACAAAATTAGAAAAACACGTGCTAAGTACAAGGCAGACTGAATCCCTGATGCATGCCTATGCAAATAAAAGAAGTATTAATAATTATTGAGTTCTGGGAAATACAACTACAAACACCATAGCACATCTGTGCAAAACAAAGGCAGCAGCTTACCTTTAAAGTCAAATCAGTTTGTGAGGGTAAAGCCACAAGAACAGCTGTAGGGTGCTTCCAAGCCTGTTTTCACATACGTGAAACAGAGCTTTCACTGGCTGCAAAAAACTGCCAACAGACTGCCATCCAGTTTTTTGAAAGACAACTTGATTTACCTAAATCCTAATCACAAGTTCTGGTCCCTAAACGTTAGAGGAGCCAACCACCAGCAGAACAGGATTTTTATCCTCTAATACAGGTACTTCATCAGAATTTTGCTGAAAATTTTAAAGAAGGAACTTAAGTTTTGACAAGCAATGCTATATCGCCCTTTCAGAACACAACGGGAATAAAACATAGCAAGCACATAAACGCTCCAACTTGTATTTTTGGTTACAAATGTCTGCAACTACCATAAAAACCAATCATCTAAAAACAAGTGACTGGGAAAACACTCTTTAAAAAAAGCTTTTGACCTTAAAAATTCCCGATACTCACAAATGCTAGAAAGATCACGTTCTTCCTACCCATCACGTAAGTTATAACTAGTACTACCTAGGGTGCATCACTCACCCATGCCAAAACCACAGTAACAGAACACGCCAAAGAAAACAAAGGTTTTTACCTTTATTATGTGTTGTAGTATTGTCCTACAGGAGGAGAATGAATTCCCATCAAGTGACTAGATTTAAAGCCAACAAATAAAAAAGCTAGTACTGCGTTACAGCGCTGCACTTCTAACAATAAGAAGTCATCTTTTGTCCTTAACTTCTGTGCTTTATTTTGTGGGAATCTTCTACAGAAGTAATACCCCTTTTTTCCACCCCCACCACCTACTCTGACAATATACTTCTCCCCTTTCTAAACCCCAAATTCCTTTAACACACATGGCAGTCTGGAACATAACCGCTTGACAGGCCGTTATTAGTATTTGGAGAGATGTCCATCTGCTCCCTTGATAAATACACGCTGAAGTAACATTTTTACACAACCATGCCTGTTGTGTCTGTTCTTTCATAGTCACTACAAGCGATTTGCCTGCTGTAACCCCCAACACCTACTGCTGAGTACGTACTAGCTCTCACTACCCTACAGCCCTGAACTCAGATCCCCAAACGTTTCTTTAACAGAAAGAAGCCTTCTCTGAAGGTGACCATGCAGCTACAACACCACCCCAGTTCACATACACCAGTCAGAATTTTTAAAATACGTCTAGTTCCATAGTTACTCCTAACTAAGACATTGTGAAACACCCTGAAGAGCTTTGCATCCTAAAGTTAGAAAATACATGCCCTCGCAGGAGACATTTTTAAAAATAGTATTTGACCCCAAAGCTTTGCGATTACACATTATGGTACCAAGTAAAGTAGTCTTCATTTTTGAGAATATTCCGTGACAACTTTTGGATTATTTTACAAAGGCAACAGCAGCAGATGCCTTCTCCATACTGCATCAACTGTTTGGAAGAACATCTGTAACCATTAACACAGTTCTTCCATACTGTTAGTACAGTGTGTTCTTTCAAAAAGCCAAAATTTACCATTCTCCAAATTCACAGACCTTATCAAAGTTCTGGTTTGTCAGTCTGTAGTTCAATGAGTATCTCCAAAAGATTATACAAAAGGTAAGTGCCATCTCAAAAATGCTGCACTTCAAAGTTTGCAGGAATTCACAAAATAAAAGGCTAAATGGTTGTCAGCTAAAAAACACACTTTAAGAAATTCATAAAGTTTTCCATGCTAGATCACTGCAGTGAAAAACCATTCTATCACATTGTTTTTCTGCATAAAGCATGTCCAAAAGGGGACTGCATTCACTGCAGTGGAAAGCTTTGCGACACCTTCTCTTTATTTAACAGTTTGTCAGAGGCTAAAAAGCGAGTATTTTCAGACATACTAAAAACTCTTTCAATTTTCAAAACTGCTACAACCTGCTATACTCTCTTAGAAGCTGCAAGTCCTGCACGCTTCGCCCCGAGCAGTTCAGTTCCCTGTACCCAGATGCTACGGGCTGAGCCGGCAGCCACAGCAGCCACCACTCTCTGCTCGCCTGATGCCCAAGACTCCAGCAGGGTCAAGCAGCCTCCCTGCTTTTTAGCATTTCTTTACAGTGACACAAATGTCTGCACTCTTTCTGTTACGAACTCCAGGGACACCTTCCAGAGATCCACTGACGAAGGAAAAAAAAAAAAATTCATGCTCCTTTGCAGCTACAGCAGACAGCCTGTCCTGCCATCGGCAAAAGCTACTCCAGGGTGCAAAATCACAGAATCACAGAATGGTAGGGGTTGGAAGGGACCTCTGTGGGTCATCTAGTCCAACCCTCCTGCCGAAGAAATCCACAAACAGGACATGGCTGCTCATCTTAAAACTACACTCAACGATGCCTATTCAGTTTCAAGGGTGCCTTGGAGGACAGGAGCTTCGACTTCCAAAGCAAAGAGCTCCAAAGCACAACACTAGCTGCCAACTTCTAGCAACAGGGCACCTGTTCAGCCAGCCCGGACAGCAGACAGACAGCAGTACCTGACAAGCACTTGTGAGGAGCTTCACCAGTTATCAGCATGTGAATTTAAGGAAACCAGTCATGTTACACTGCAATTGCTCAGAGGAAGTATGCAACGTAACCTTTAAAGTGTACACTAAATTGGTTCTGCCTTCTAGGAGAGGGGGAGGAACAAATTTGTAGCCACTGGAAGGAGCAACACTTTTTACCTCCTTCCTTTGCTTTGGAGATTTGCAAGCAGGCTGTCAACAGCTGATGTACTCAGAGCTAGTACAGAGAGTAACAGCATTGCCTTCGTATTGGAGAGATGAACGTCCTGTCGAGGTACAACCACCAAACAGTGGTTCTGCCCTCATGAGCCAAAACAAGCTACAACCCGCTAGTTAAAAAAGTTAAACCCAAAAGTACATTACAGACAGAAGATGACACAGCAGCCTGACTAGCACAAAACGATCTGCAGCCACTCTGCTTCTTGTGAACTCGCTGCCAGAATGTAGGGCAGGAAAGGCATGGCCCCAGCGCACGCGAACCGAGTCTGGCTATACCATAGTTAGAATACAGGTGGATACATCAGCAGCCTGGTAAGGAAGGAGAGCAAGATCAAAGGAGCTCTAATTTTCAAATATTAAGAGACCATTTACACATCAAACCTGAGCAAAGGAAAAGAGGCAGACACCTTCCTGCACTGCAGGTGCACATCAGTAGCAAAGGGAGAGGACATTTCATCTGACAAGTTCCATGAGTGGGTGACAGAGGACACCTGCAAGCAGGACAGTAAATCTGGAATAACCAAACAGGATGAAAGCTAGCAGACAGATTACTCTAGCAATGCTGAGGAACTGCAAATCCCTCTAAATGCTCTGTTACACCTAAAATTAAGCTTCTTTGATAGAGCATAAGCTAGAGAATTTGTAGTTCAAGTTTCCCCAGTTAGCTGCAGATCCGAGTATTAAAGTTACAAAAAATAACCACAGGACAGCATTATGTTTTGGCGTAGTAGTCCAATATCTGTATGGGAAATTTTAATTTGAAAAAGCAAGGTAAGTGCACTCCCCAGCTAAGCCAAAAATAGAACATACACCTTAGTAAGACTGACATTGAAATGTCTGATCTATTTCATAAATTTGCACTAAAACCTCTAAACAGTCTAGGGCTTAAGTATAACAGAAGCCAAAACATAAGGATATAGAAATGCACAATCCGGATTCCCAAACATCAGTGCTAACACATACCTGCAGCACAGAAATGACAAAAGAACCTGATCTTCTAAAAATGTTAATCCAACTTAACCCAGAGTGACAAACATTAAATTATAACCTGAAAACATGTATTTGTTAATTTCACCATTCACACACTAAAAATACTACACCCAGTCATTTAAAAAACTATGATTTCCACTTTTTGGAAGATTGCTGTCAATTTCCAAAGCGTGAGATTAAAATTGAGTCTATAAAGAATAAAAATACATGTTTTCTCCTGTGATTAACACTGCAAGAACGGACAATTTTTGTTAGTGACACTCATACAAGCACAAAACACCTGGCATCAGTTGCTTTAAGAAATACATCAATATTAAATATGAAATCAAGATCTGAACCTGTAGCAGCAGAAGGTTCTTTAGTTCTGACAGTAACAGAGGAAGACTCCGTGTCTTCAACTTTTTCTTCCTGCAGACTGGCATCTGTACTGAGCACTGTGCTATGTGATGCGTTTCCAGGGGATCCTTCTTCACTGAAACTTTGGTCAGATTCAACAGGAATTTCTAACTGGACTAGAGCGGAGGAATTAAAAAAAAAAACACAACACACTTTCACTGAGTAAAATGCACACAAAAGCATATTCTAGAATACTGATGTGTGCGTTCATCACATCACAGTGGAGACAAATATCCATCCATGCTCAGACTGCCTGCTGTTCTATTATCACAATATTAAGTTTTTACACACACAGCTACTTGCAGCAACCCTCTAAATTTAGAGCTGCTTAGAAACACACAGACTGCTAACTCTTTGTAGCGTAATCTGGGCTAGGTCTCCTCAAACCATGATCAGAGCTCCCCCTGAAAGGGAAACGCAGTGAAGCACAGGGCAGAAAGGGAGCATTGTCTCCACCCAGTCTAGAAGCATCCCGCTTGGTGTTTTTGGTGTTCAACAAGAGGATTAAGCTATAAATTTAGCATTTAGGTTACTTCTTCAATCTAAAGTGTTAAAATTTTAATTACTCCATTTTCACAAGCATAACCTGCATCCCTTAAAAAAAGAAAACAAAAACCCAACCACAACCAACACTTCCATGAAGTTATTTCACAGCCTGTGAAGAAAAAAAAGGCCAGTTACCCCAGTCAGCCACCCCTCTACTGGAAGAGCTCTCACCACGCAGGGGAAATGCTAGGGTTACTGACGGGGAGGGAATCAAAAGCAAAGGGAACTGGGGCAGCAGAGAGGTATAACCTTTCCTTCAGTTTTCTCTGCACTGCTGATGAAATCTGTTTTTAATTGCAGATACAGAGCCTGCAGGTCACAGAAATAAAAACACAGTGCTTGCAACAACTAGGTGACTGCCATGCCACACAGCCAGAGCACAGCCGGAAGCTGCTCACCCTTCTCAGATTCCTTTTGGTTAGATACTGCATCTTTCAAAGGCAGAACTTCCGCTGAGGCTGTGACATGATCGCTATTTAAAATCTCATGGCTAATACCGGATGAGAGTCTTGACGATCGTCTCCTGATCTGGTCTCTTTCAGGGTTATCTGAAGAGTTCTTCCATTTTTCCTGAGCTAGAATAGACAAATTTTAGGTACCGTTCAGTTACAGGATTACTAAATAGATCACATGCAAACTTCAAAGACCTCCCCTGCCAGTGGCACTCTGAAAGTGTGCTTCTGAAGGACTGGGATTAGCAGCAAAAGCTGAACAGCCCTGGTGACTGGACCTCTCTGTAAAAGCTACGGTCATATGAACAGTTATAAATAAGCATAAAGACTGAGCAAAAGCCTGTCTTAAAGGTCTCAACTTTTTCTTTTAGTAACAGATTTGAAGTAAGAATACAGATCAGTATCTTACCGGTAAACACTGCTTTAAACAGCAACCATCCCACAGGCAGAAGTAATACCAGGAGCTGGACGAGACAATTCAGACACACAAACAACTTTGACCCTACACTCGCTAACGTACACACACGG